GTTGCACAAATGGAACGAGTTTGCTGTGCTCTACAAAATGATATCCATTTTCAATATTTTTTGAGAAAACAATTCTTGCCTCTCGGTACCAACTGCATACCATATGGTAACTTCTTCGTTTTTAATTCGTTTTTGAAAATGTTTGCACAGAAGGAACGAGTTCATCATGATCTATTGGATCTACAAATTTCTGGGTGAACAAATTACACGTCAAAAAATACCACACAATACCACTTTGGTACGGGGTGGTATCTTGTGGTACACAATGTTAAAAGTCGTAAATGACAGTTAATATACTTCTACTATTATGTATTCAATCATCATATAGTCTTGTTTTGTTCAGACCACCATGGTAAGCGTTTCAAACCTTAGATATGCTCTTATTTCAATACCAGTCAATACCAAATGGTATAGACTAGTAAAAAATGGCTCAATTTTTTTTCTTCGAACAATATATCAAAGTGGATATCATTTTGAAGAGCACAATTAATCTAATCTAATTGTGCAAAAAAGAATTAAATTTCGACTTAAAACGAGTGAGAAATTGTCCATCAAAGATTAATGAGGGAAAAATTAAAAACTTTCTAGGAGAGAAATATGTTGATGTGGACGAGTTACTCATGGTTACTTACCATAAGGTTACTGACGTAATCCGTTCCAAAATTAAGGATTTTTTGTATGATAAACTTTAGCATTTTAGGATAAACATAATAACCTTAATTTTGTTTACTAAAAATAAAAAAGGCAACAATATTATGAAAAGGAAATTATCCTGAAAAATCGACATATAACCTATACAGTCACTCATGTCTCCCAAGTCCTAACACTTGCCCTAAGCTATCGCACAAAAACAAAGATGCCCCGCTCCCTCTGTCATTCCTCAACTGCTCTCTCAAAAGTCCATTCATAACAGTCAATTCCTTCATTCATTCTCTCGCTCTAAACTAAACAACTCTACTGATGACTTCCCTATTGCCCCTCTCCACTTGGCATTATGCATGGCCTCCGAATGTCCCAATAAAGAACCCAAAACGAAAGATATTAAATAATGGGATTATGATGATAATCCATATTCCCATCCATCACAGGCCAAGAATTGCCCAATCCTAGTTTTGAAGAGAAATTAGAATATCAATCAAGAATGAATATAGCGCTCGCTGTTCTCGTGACCAAACACCAGCCTATGCCTTTGGATCCCGAGCTTGCTTTCGTTTCTTTTCCTTCTTCGCGCATTAATTGGGTTTCGTTTGGGGTTTTTGTTTGATTCTAGAAACTATTAGGCGGTTGTGTAGGACACGAGCAAAGCGGCTGTTCTTGGCGGGAGAACGTACTCCATAACCCTACAAAACAGGGGTCTATGAACGGTTGCTCAGGACACTCTTCGAAGATTAAGTTAGAGAAGTGAGAATATGAGTTAGGTTTAGAGAGAGAAAGTAGTTGAGTTACCATCAATGCTCGTATGGGATATTTATACCCTAATAGGTGAGGACTTGGGCATTAAATGTTATGTAAGGCGTCCTAAGTGTGTACTTTCCCTTAATAGACCGCCTATGAAGGGAAATTAATGCTCAGTCTAGCTTATACCGAGGTAAGCATATCTCTGGATCTTTACCCTCCTGCCACCATCAGTGTTTTATGTCAGGCGGCTTGGTTCCTATCGGATCCTGAAACGACCGCCTAGCCGTGAGGAACCGCCCACCTAAACTAGGCCTCTTCGTTGGGTCGGGCTCGCCTTCCTTGTAGAGCCTCAAAGTCCATTACCGCTCAACCACGCGACCCAACAATTGCCCCTTAGGGGGGAAAACCTCTGGATTTTGGCAGCTAATGTTTTCATCTATCGTGTTGAGCGGCCTTGTTTACCCAACCACTGTTCCATCTCTTTCCCCTAGCCGCTCGGGAGGCAGAGACCTCCTGGATAAGGGGTGTCTTGACGTTTGACGATTATCTCATTCCGTCATACCATCTCCTGCATCTTACTCGACCACATGCAGTGGACTGCATACGACACACCGTTTATTTGATGAACCCGCACCCTCCATGTAACATAGTTCGATTTCCGAGATCTAACATCGGTCAATAGACCTGTCCTTTCAGCTGCCCGAGTTTTCAAATTTGTAGACCTAGCATTTCTTTTTGGTCACCCAACAATCACATCAATCGATGCCCCCTCCTCCTCCTATTTAAACACAACCATAGTCTTCTTTCTTCACTTTCGCATCCACCATCTTCGCCGAGGTTTGCTCCATCTCGCCACCATAGCTCGCTGCTCTCGATTTTCTCTGTCCCTCTATCTACAAAGGCATCCCTCATTCCTTTACTTATGGGTTTCTTTTGCAGGTGTCCGCCGGTATGCATCGACCGCAAGGCCGCCTAAGCCAACCTCTGGTGCGCTACTGCTGCCACCGCTATTCCTTTAGGTAGCCATCCGAAGCGGCAGGCTATCGTTCTTTCGGTGACTATCCAAACTCAACTTGAGGTAAGCCTCTCGGGAATGGTGAAGGTGGCGGAGTTCGGTTCGAGTCGAGACTCTGGGAAGCAGTCTTTGGATGATTTGGTTGCGAAGGATGGAGAGACCATGAGGGATCAGTCAAGATCAAGAATGAAAAGCGTCCTCATTGACACTACCCATAAGAAAAAAAAGAGGAGGACCGAGCTTTCGGAAATCGCTACCTTTTCTCTGCATGCCCCTTGTACCCAAAGCCGGCTAAGTGTGCCTTGCATACCATCACCGAGAAGTTTTCTCTTCCAAGCGAATACACCCGAGTTACCAGGACCCCTATTCTTACATCTGATACCTGACATCTGGCTAGTGCCACCTCATGGTGCCTGTTTGCTGTAAGTATATTCTTTGACTTGTTTCCTTTCTTCGCGGTCGTCGCTCCTAACTCGTTTAAAATCTCGCAGACTCAGTTTGGGATTAATCAAATAGTGCATCACAACTATCGCCTCCAGAGCGACTTGGACGATCACGATTCGAAGATACTTCAACTCCAAGATCAGCGGAAGGAGGGGCGTGAAGCATTCGGGCGGGAACTGCAAGAAGAGATTGTTAAGGAGCAGGAAGCCGCTTTTATGGAGAAGGACGCCGAGCTTGCCGCAACCAAGGAGAAGCTGGAGAAGGCAGAGGAAGATGCGGAGTTTGCTTGGAAGGGCGCACAGGAGGCTGCTGAGCGAGGGAATGAGGATGCCGATGAGGTGGTCCGCATGAAGAGTGGGATTGAGTCCATGAGGAGCAACCGCGGGGCTGAGTTGCAAAACATGGCAGAGGTTACTAAGGCAACCGTTCTTGAATCCGATGATTTCAGGTCGGCTAATGAGGCCAAATATAACAAGTTGCTGAGGGATATTGTGGCGTCCATCAGCCACTGGTTTCGTCACAAGTATCCCGAGGTTGTGTGAGATTCCGATACTATTTGGGACTCCTTCGAGGAATGGTGTGATGATGACGTGAATTCCGAAGAGGTTAAGGATATCGGGGAGATGCTAGAGGGGAGGTTAATCAGCGGTCTCTTGCTGATGGCAGGTCAGCGCAATGATCACTTCTGCCACGGCAAGCTTTGATGATTTTATCACTTTCTGTTTTTATGGTGCTTAAGACATTTCTGTTACCACGCGGTTATTTTTTATGTATGTACTCTGAATTTGACTTCTTCTTGCATGGTTATGTGCCCTGGGAGATTTTAATTGGTTAGCTACTTTTGCGGTCCTTGTTACGCGGCTTATTTTCAGAAAGATTTTCTCTTTTCACCCTTCTCTTCTTTTTAAGTATTTGCTCGGGGGCGGTTCATTTACTCGAGCTGTGCCTTGATTTATCACTCGATGCGGTCTCAAACTGTGGTTGTTTGCTTGGAGAATTTTTCTTAGTTTATCACCTGGAGGCGGTTTTGAACTGTGTTTATTCGAATAGCGAGTAACTTATAGCTTATTGCTCAGGGAGTTTTAAAACTGTGGTTATTCGAATAGAGTAACTTATAGCTTATCGCTCGGGGGCGGTTTTGAGTGCTTTGTATTGCGCATTAGCTTGTCACCAGGAAGCGATTTTAAGCTGTGGTTATCCGAATGATGAATAACTTATAGCTTATCGCTCTGGGGCGGTTCGAATTTGCCCAAGTATTTCTTTGAAGCACGTCGCTCTGAGGCACTTTGATTAATCATGAAAAAGGAGAGATAATATACATTGCCAGTTATGACTGCTTTCACGATCGTATAAAATGCTTCACGTCCCGTCGGTCTTTCGCTAATTACTTTGCGAAGTACTTCTTCAGATGGATGGCGTTCCAAGTCTTAGTTACTAGCTTCCCTTCCATTGTGGCAAGCACGTATGTCGCCGGGCCAATTTTTTATCCAACCAGGAATGGTCATTTCCATATGACAACTAGCTTTCCATGCCCTTCTTTCTGCTCAACGTTCCTTTTTCAGGACCATGTCTCCCACCTCTAGCGTTCGATGTCTCACCTTTTTGTTGTAAGCTTTTGCTACCTTAGACTTTTCCATGATGGTTCTGAGTAGCGCGGCGTCTCTCTAAGCTTCGATCATGTCCAACTGATGAAGCAGTTTCATGTGGTTTTCGTTCGGGTTGTGCGCCTGGGCTCGTGTGTGAGAGCAAACGGCGTTTCTACAGTTGCCTTTTGTAGTTCGTGCGGTGCACCCAGAGTACATGTGGCAGCTCCACAGTCCATCCTCCTTTAGCTTCCTTCAACCTTCTCTTCAGCCCTCGCATGATCAACTTGTTTGATGACTCGACTTGCCCATTTGCTTGGGGGAATGCGACCGAGGCCATTTTGCAGATAATGTGGTTTCTTGCGCATAAGTTTTCAAAGGGCCTACAGTCAAACTGTGTATCGTGGTCAGTGATGATGGTATTAGGTGTTCAAAACCTGATCATTATGTTGAGATAGAATGCCACTGACTCTTTTTGATAGTTTGGCCAAAGCTTCTTCTTTGACTTCATAATTTTCTAGCACCTGGTTGACCACGAGCAATGAATCAGAGTAAATGTGAAGGTGTGAGGTGCCCATACCCGTAACAATCCCGAGATTGCTGAGGAGTGCCTCATACTCCGCCCCATTGTTGGTTTTTAATTCTCAAAACCTGTGAGAGAATTCGTGCACCACTCCCTTAGGCGTTTTGATGACAATTCCAGCTCCAGTCCGTCTTGTCCAGCTGCTCCGTCTACAAAGAGACGCCATACTTCTTTTGTTCCTTCTGACTCCATGGTTTCCAAGCTAAAACCTTATGCGACAAAGTATGCCAACACTTGCCCCTTGATTGGCGGTCGAGGTGCGTATGCCATGTCACTTAGCTCGACTGCCCACTTTGTCATTCTTCCTGACACATCCATTCCTTTGAGAATTTTTTTCAGTGGCAGGTTGGAGAGCACGGTGACTTGGTGTCCTTAGAAATACGATCTCAATTTACTTGCGGCTGAGACAACGGCCAGGACCACTTTTTCAATGGGCATGTACTGTTTTCTGCAGTTACTTACATAGTAGACAGGATGGTCCGAGCTGTTTTCTGGACTTCACATTAAGACTGAGCTGATGCTTAGTCGGAGACCGCTAAGCAGAGTTACAACGGTTCTCTGTGAAGAGGGGTGCTCAGGACTAGAGTGATGTTAATTGCTCCGTCAACTAAAAAAGCTTGGTCGCACTCATCGCCCCACTAGAGCCACGATGCCGAATTCTTCAACATTTGGAAGAATGGTGAACATTTGTCTGCTGCCATGGGATAAAGCAGCTTAAGGCAACCATTTTTTTGTTGAACGCTTGAATTTCCTTCACCGTCTTTGGCGACTTTAGGCTAAGTATAGCCTCTATCTGCTTGGGGTTTGCTTCAATTCCTCTGCTGGTGACCATAAAGCCTAAGAATTATCCCGCCTTTGCTCCGAATATGCACTTGAGCGGATTTAGCCTAAGGCACTCTCTCCTTAAGCTTTCGAATGTCTCCCTCAGGTCCTCCAGGTGATCAACTCCCCTCTTACTCTTAACGAGGACGTCATCTACATATGTCTCCATGTTCCTTCCTAATTGGTCCTTGAAAATCGGGTCTATCATCCTTTGATAAGTTGCTCTGGTGCTCTTCAGACCAAACGGTATGACCGTGTAGCAGAAGTTTCCCATGTGCGTCATGAACGCGGATTTTTTTTTTGTCTTCCTCAGGAAGTCGGATTTGATGATACCCAGAGAACATGTCGAGGAAGCTGAGAGTTTCGTGGTTAGCGGTTGAATCGATCAACTAGTCGATCCTAGATAGAGGATATGTGTCCTTGGGGCAGGCCGCATTGAGGCTTGTGAAATGGATGCACATTCTCTACAGTCTCGATGCTTTACGGACAAAGACTGGGTTAGCCAGCCATTTTGAGTATCTGACTTCCATGATGAACCCGACCTTCAGCAATCGCTTTACCTCTTCTTCTAGTGTGGGGGGGGGGGGGGTATTTCTCCTTTTTGGTTGTATTGGCCTTGCTTTACTTCTGATTGACAGTTGGTGTTCACCTAACTTTTTTGAGACGCCTGACATATCTTCTGGGGTCCATGCAAACAGATCTTTATACTCTCCGAGGAGTGATATGAGTTCCCGCGCTTTTTCTTTTGGGAGGTGAGACGATATTCTGACTTTCTTTTTGAGCTCCTCTTCGCTAAGGACGAACGACAACAGTTGTATCCTCATCGACCGCTTCAGGTCTGGGATGGCTTCCCCTTGTATCGAGCACGTCAACTTCCAAGCTCTTGATGGTTGCCTGATACCACTCCTTTGCTTGTTTAGTGTTTCCACAGACCCCTATGATCTTCCTCCCAGTGGGAAACTTGAGCAGCTGGTGGCAGGTGGAAGGGACTGCTGAGAAAGTTGACAGAAAACCGCGTCCCAGGATTGCGTTGTAGGCCGAAGGGCATTCAGCCACGTGGAAGTCCATGAGGCATGTTTTTGTAACTTCTGCTTCTCCTATCGTAACTTGCAAAGTGATAGACCCCAACACTCGCAATTTTGACCATGAGAAACCCACCAAGCTAGTCGCCGAGGGTTTGAGATCTTGTACACTCTTTTTCATGTTTCTTAGGGTAGAGTAGAACAGGATGTCTGCCAAACTTCCATTGTCTACCAATGCTCTGGTGACTTTGAATTTCTTCATTCGAAAGGCAATAACCAGCGGGTCCTCCCCGCTTTATTCTGGTGTTAGTTCGGAGGGGGAAAAGCTTATCTCAACCTGCTCGCTCTTGTGAACATTGAGGCACTACTCTAGACGGTCTCCTTCTGTTCGAGGCCGCTTATGTCCTCCTACTATGGTTATGACCTCCATGTCGTCTTCATTTAAGCGGGGTTGTCAACGAGGGGGAGTTTGTCTTGGTGGTGGTGGTACTCGTTCTCGGCGGGGAGAGCGTTCTCTTATTTTCGTCCTTGATCTCATACGTCTGGATGTTCGAGACCTCCTTCTCTGGTTTAGCGACCTTCCTCGTTCATCAGCTTCTCCTCTGATGTGTGATCGTGTGTCCAGGCGGCTTCTCAGGTCTCCATGCGCTAGATACTAGAGACTCACTTTGAAGTCCCGACACTCTGTAGTGTCATGGGTGTGCAATTGGTGCCAGTAGCACCACTTTCGATCATTTTCCTCCTATGGGGTTGATGCTCTTCTATCGTACTGCCTCTCTCTCTCTCGACGACCTCTTCTTCTTTGTCCGCGACCAACACCTCACGCCTATTATCTCGGTTTGTAGTTTCTTCTCTCGGGTGTGCGACCCCCTTTATCGGCGATCCAGCTCTACTCATGTCTCCATTTTCTCCTTTGTAGTTAGCGGGCTTCCCGCCGTCCACTATGTTTAGTGCCTCTTCCAGTATGATAGATTTTCTTACTAGGAAATCGAGATCTGGCCAGGACCCTAGGTTGTGCTCCTTCTTCATGAGTGCTTGATAGACCATTATTTGCACATGTTTTGACCACCATTCTTAAACCGTTTGAGAGTTGATTCTCGTGTTTTAGGCCAATTTCACGCTAGGTTGTTCGTTTATGTCATATTTCAGGACCTGGCGTGGATATGGAGGCGTGGAAACGAATTTCGGGTCGACAAGTGGAAAGTTGGAGCTAGAGGAGCTGTCAGGCAAAAATACCCGGTCAGGCAGTGAAATACCCGACATGGTATATGAGAAAAGGCGACTGGGTAAAGGCGTTTTGGAGGCCAAAGAAGCAGATTGGGTCCCAGCCAGGAGGCTTAAATACCGATCGGGTATTCTGAACCTCGATCGGGTATTTCCCTTTCCCATTGCGCAGCGTTTTAAAATACCCGGCAGGTCACCTGAAATACCCGACTGGGTATTAAGGCCGGGTATCGCGATCTACCCTTTTGAAGGGAAGAAAGCCTCTTAGGAGGGGGGATCCGATTTTGAGAGAAAGAAAGCAGAAAACCTAGAGAGAGAGCGACGAACAAACCTTCTAAGCGCCCTAAATCGATCTCCAACACCATTGGAGCTCAGTGGAAGTTTGGAGAAGTGTCGATTGATTCCCAGAAGCAAATTTTCATCCTGCATAGAATGATTTCTGCATCTGAAGCATATTTCTCTTCTCTCTCTATGGAGTAAACTCTCTCACTCACTTGGGTATGAAGAACCCTAGATTTGTATGTTAGGTTTGGTTGTATGTATCAAGAACCTGTTGCTTCCAATAACTCGAGTTGTTGGGAGAGGTTCTATCATGGATCATATACCACAACACTAACACGCCCCCCATGTCATAAACCAGTTGCTCCAAATAACTCGAGTTGTTGGGAGAGGTTCAATCGTGGATCATATACCACAACACTAACACGCCCCCTCAAATGAAAGCCAGACACAAGGGCTTGAAGTTTGCACATGTCTGAAGACAAGAATACCATGTGCTTAACAAATGGGGGTCACTGGGAATCGAACACAAGACCTCTCGGTCACATAAGGCTCTGATACCATGTCATCGAGTTATTGGGAGCAACTGGTTCTTGACATGGTATCAAAGCTAGTTTGGCCAAGTGGTCGTTTGTTCGAATCTCCACAACCCCCAATATTACAGTTCATTAAAGCACAAGGTATGGTGGGCCTGTGCAAACTTCAAGCCCATGAGTTGGCTTTCGTTTGAGGGGGTGTGTAAGAGTGTGGTATAAGATCCAGCATAACCTTCTCCCAACAACTCGAGTTATTGGGATCAACTGGTTCTTGACAGTATGAACCTAAGTACATGTTCTTTGATATCGATTATATGCAATGGAGGCATGATTTTCTGAATTGCATGAATCCTGATCAAATTCCTATAGTTCTCGCTTTGACCTAGAAAGAGAATATCTGCCTAGGTTAATAGAGCACCCTTAATCGAAGGTAGTAAATTGGCGACTTTACTCGTGGAGTCGGTTCACTATTTTGTATTGGATTTACTCCAGTAGAGGAGGTTTGGTATGTTAGGGCCTCAGTCTGTTTACTCCGGTGGTGGTTAGTCGTCTGTGGGGATTCAGATTGAGAGGGTCTGGAGACCTTTACTCGAGACTTCATACTATTTCAGCAGTATAATCATCATTGAAACTGGACTGGGAAATTATAACTTGGCTTAACACAGTCTAGGGTGAACCATATCTGGGTGACCTCTCTCAAATTTGGAACACAACCTTAACTGCTTTTGTTTGCTAGTTTAGTTGGAACTTCACTATAGTTGAACGCTAAATAATAAGAATTTCACGGAGTAGTCATCACACCTAGGACCCTGGTTGACATTTAAATCTAAACCCGCTATACTACGCATTAGTAGGTGGTTACACTTGGCCACTTTCTAGTGTGACAGTACAAGCGAGTCATCGCTCTTTTTAGCTCTCGGCTACGCGTTGACATTCGCAAGTTGCCTGCCACCACGCTTAGTGATATTCCCTGCACTTCGCAAGTTATCATGTTCTATCTGTCGTAAAAATCAATCAGCGATTCCTCCCTCTCTTGCCTGCAGTTGATGAGGGCTGAGACCGTGAGCTTCCTTCTCCTGTGGGACGCGAACTTCGACGAGAAAAGCATGGAAAATTGCTTGAAACTAGGGGTGTTAATCGGTGGCTGGTTATGCGGTTTAACCAAAAAACCGCACCAAAAATTCGGTTAATTGAATAACCGAAAACCGATTATAGGCATGCGGTGTCGGTGTCGGCATCGGTTGCTGTTTTTTAGGAATATGCATAACTGGCGGTTATCGGTGAATAACCACAACCGTGGCTGTTAACCGCAAAACCGTCGTCGCCCCGCAATCTGGAAGAAAGAAAAGAGAGCGAGAGAGGGAGTTGGCAAAACGGATCGACACTGGGGGAGAATGAAGTTGAATCGAGATGGAAGAGAAGGAAAAACGGAGAGACAGATCGAAAAGTTTCAGAGAAGATGAGATCGCCAAGATAGGGTAAGAGGGTTTTGTTCATATTTTTTCTTGGGAGGAAGAACAGAAGAGAGACGACGAAGAAGGTAAGGTTGAAGAAGGGTGAGCGGTCGGTTGCGACGCTTAGGGTTTATTAAGAGAGACTATATACCCCATACCCCCTAGCCCGAAAAATGACTAAATTTTCCCTTGCTTTTTGTTAAAATAACCCATTGGCCGCTACCACCTTCGTTCGTCTCATCCCCCAAACAAGCCAGGTTTTCCCCAAAACGATCCACCCACCGCTTCCCTCCTGAGTTCTGAACCCTTACACTCCCCGGCGCACCGCCGCCAGCCGTCATCATCATCCGGCCTGGTGTCCCCACCGCCACCTTCGTCCTCCTGCTCCCAGTCCCAGTAATCATGGGCCGTCGCGCCTTCGTCGGTGTTCGCCATCGTCGCACCACGCCACCACCTGCCTTCGTCCTCCTTCGCCCAGCGATCTCGTCGATTTCAGCTAACCGCGACACCGATCCGAAACCGTCGATGACGGTTTACGGCTACGCGACAAGGCAATCGGTGTCGGTGGCGGTTGTGGTTTTTCGATGCTTCTCTGTGGCGTTTAACCGCGTTAGCGGTTCGGTTAAAATCGAAACCGCACCGCTAACAGCCTACTTGAAACTGTTGATTATTCCCTCGGGAAGGGAGGTGTACCAGGTCCTGTATTGACCGCTAAAAGTGACGGGGAACGCCTTACACAGATATGCATGTGAAGCGTTGTTGAGCTGCATTTTAATGAAGGCGCTCAAATTTTCTGTCGGATCGGAGTTTCCATTGTAGGTTGGCAGACCCAACGATGAAAAGTTGGAGGACACTTGCGTTTTGAATAGGCTCTTCGCCAATGGATTTTGTAGTATGTTGTGACCCTTGGTCTTTCCGTAGGATGGCCGGAGATATTCCTCTAGAAAGTTTAGGTTTAGTGCCTCTGTGCCTTCTTCTTCCTCGGATTCTCCGCCTTCTTTTTGAGCACGGCTGGCGGGAGCATGCATGCCATATGGCGAGGATTTCACTTAAACTCTCTCGTATGCTGGAGATCTGTTGCTCTTGATCTTTCACGTGGTCTTCTATTTCCATCTCCTCTTCCGCAGTAGGCATTTCAAACCCACAGATGCTCTCTCTCTATTACGCCTTGGACTGGGGTTCCAGAGCTCCCGACCACCATTTCCTTCAGTACTTCACTCTGTGCCCCACGGTGGGCGGCAAATTGTTTGAATCTAGAAAGTACTAGGCTGTTCTGCAGGACACAAGCAAAGCGGTCGTTCCTAGCGAGGGAACGTACTCCATAACCCTACAAAACAGGGGTCCATGGACGGTTGCCCAGGACACTCTCCGTATATTAAGTTAGAGAGAGAAGTGAGAATATAATTTAGGTTTAGCTAGAGAGAAAGTAGTTGAGTTACCATCAATGCTCGTATGGGGTATTTATACCTTGATAGACGAGGACTTGGGCATTAAATGCTATGCCAGGCACCCTAAGTGTGTACTTTCCTGTAATAGACCACCTACGGTGGGTAATTAATGTTCAGTCTAGCTTATACCGAGGTAAGCATATCTCTGAATCTTTACCCTCCTGTGTCACCATCACTGCTTTAGGTCAGGCAGCCCGGTTCCTGTTGTGTCCTGAGACGACCGCCTAGCCGTAAGGGACCACCCACCTAAACTGTGCCTCTTTGCTGGGTCGTGCTCGCCTTCCTTGCTGAGCCTCAAAGTCCATTACCGCTCAACCACGCGGCCCAAACAGTTTTCATTCTGATATACAACTGGCGCTAGTGACAAATTGTGTTCCCACGTGAGAGAATTACTACATTTCTCAAAGCGGTAATGAGTAATTCACAAGAGTGAAAAGACACACATTGCGATTGTTTCTAATCTGGAAATTGTGGAACTCGTGATGGGTCAATTTAGATTTTAGACTAATTAATTAGCCATTGCCATTTCAAGCATAAAATTATCTAAAAGTTGTTGCCGACGGGACTTAAGAAGTGGGCGATCATGGACTGCGTTTGAACTCCAAATGACAAGTGCAGACGGACGGACGCTTCATTCAAGATAATATGATGGTGGTGCATGAGGTGTTCCACCATTTTAAAATTCATCGGGGAGGGAATCACATAGATGTGATGTTCAAGCTTGATATGTGCAAATAGATTGAGATTGTCTCAGTCTCTTCTTAATACTCATTCCAAAATTATGAACTTTTTTATTGAAAAATCAGAAAATTGTACTTAAATTTTAGCAAACCACGACCCATTTGTTTCGTTCGAATTGTAGAGTAAACTTGCAATCCTTGGATATGGTGTAGCTATCTGTAGGTAAGCAAGCAGACTTGATCATGTAGACATCTTTCGTAAAGTCTCCATAAAGATGGGTCTTGTTGACATCCACTTGTTGCAAAAACCCGTCATGAATATTTACAAGAAATAACGAGCTTCTGGTTCTGGTAAAAATGTGTTTGTGTAATTAATCAATCCGGTTATTATGCTTTCAATTATAGTTAGTAAATACTCCATTTAATGCACGTATATGTATCAGTATGTATTTTATCCATTTAAAATTTTCGTATTTGTATTATTGTCAATCCATTTTATTTTATTTCATTAATTTGATGGCACACGTACTAAGCACTTATAAAACCCATATAACACGTTTAATATTCGTATTTAATGAACTAAATTATTAACTTTATTATTATTTTTATTTTATATATATTTTGATTTTTTCAGAAATTTAATTTTAAATATTTATGACTATTAACATACTATTAAATGTAACATTAGCTTAGAAACGAAGTAAAATGCTCACACGTATTTTATATGTAACTTTCTCATACCATATTTTACGCTTACAGTTACTAAAGGGTCGTTTGGAAATTATGTATTACGAGAATGTGTGTATTAAAGATTATGTGTATATTAAGAATGTGTGGTCTTAAAAATTAATTGTTTGAAACCCATAAAAGAATGCATGAATTATAGTTTAAATGAACTATGGATACTCAAATCTCACCAAAAAGGTAAGATTATGAATACATCATTTTCTATGTATTAGGAATAGAACATGTATTATGAATACATGCATTCTGTTATTATATCAAGTCAAAAAACGTTGTATTCTCATGATACATGTATACTAAGAATACAACATCTGGAATCAGAGGTTCCAAACGAGCTCTAAATGCCATCACCTCCATCCGATGGTCAATAGATGTCCTTGTGCTATTCAATGTCCGTGATCATTTTGCTAAATTGCCACTGCTGGTTTAAGAACACCGTTTTCACTAACATGAACGCTATGTTTGGGAAGAGGTGCAAATGGGAGGGGGGTGCAAATGTGAGGATAAACTCAGTTTCCAACACATTTGCACCCATTTGGTTAATTTGTAACAGTATAGTCAGAAATTTCAAGGTAGCACCCAGCTGGTCCCACCAGACAACGGCATAGTCAGAAATCTCAAAAGCATCAATGATTACCATCTTCCGTTCGGAGTAGTCATTGGCACTCGAATAGGCACTCCATCTTTCTCTCCCAGTCGAGGTAAGCTTCATGATCACTCCTCCCTTGAAATTATGGCACCTTCACTTTTAGCCCCCTCATATGACATATCATCATCTCTATGCTGGGGATACTCTTCTTCCTCGTAGTACTCCTCATAGTCATGAGCTTCAGGAGCTCTACGGGCCTGGACTGGGGGTCTTCCTCCTCGACCTCTACCTCCTCTGCCTCGTAGGGGTCTGAGATTGTTGGGACCCAGAGGTTGACCTCACCTTCCTCCCGGTGGTGGTAGTGGATAGTCGTCCTCCACCTCTTCCTCGGGGTGGAGATTGATAGCTCGGGCCATCTCTTCGAGACGAGTGTTGATCTGATCCTGCTGGTCGCGCATCATCCGCGTAAGACTTCCCAGAAGAGCATCCACGGTGGTTTGTGGAATGCCCTCCAGGTTCTGAACTTCCTGGTTGTTGCGGATTTCTCCTTCTCCTGCCATGTAGTTCAGAAACTCGAAACAAGAAATTATCCGTCAATGCTTAAAGTTTCAGACTGATAGTATGAAGAAAAAATCCTCACGGAGTCACTCCCTCACGTGTTTGCACTCAATTGAGATCACTCGTTTTCTTACCACTCGTGTTTCACTCAACAGAACTGGCTTTTACCCGAAAATGAACTCACAAAGCCTATTTCCACTCGCACTCTGCAACTCTAGGTAAGGACTTCTCACTCCTCAAGCAACGCAATCTGACCTAGTTCACGCCTTTTTCTTTACTTTGATTTTCGTTTTAGTTTTTTTATGAACGGCTTTTACCAGATGCAGTTACAATCAAGAATGAAATTGACAACCAAAAATTGAAAGATAACCTCTCTTGGCGGCGGTTATGGTCACAAAACCTTCTTCAGCTGATTCCCGCACAAGAAAGGAGGATACGTGTGTCAGTGTGTTGAACCGGAGCTCTGATACCACCTAATATAAGTCGATGCTCCAACTCCTAGACTTAAACAATCAGAAACGCAACAAAGATCGATTAAAGTACAACGATCACAAAGCGGATAATAACCCAAATCAAATCCACGAGTCGGGAAGAGGGCCAGGTATACGAAGGACTATTCGGCTAGGATGATGAGCTAGCAGAAAATGTCGGTTTCCTCTTGCTAAATCGATTCCACGATCACGAAAGAAGAAGAAGAGAAGTTGGTGTTTGAAAAACCAATTCTAGGGTTTGTATTTGTGAATAAAAGTGTTGATTACCCTCTAAAAGACGTAGATCAGCTCCTTACATAGGCTATAAAGGTTTTGGACCAAAAATAACAAGAAAACCCGAGTTTTGGAGCAAAAGTCACATAATCCGCAAAGGAAACAAAAAACAGGTCGTGTAGCAAAACCAGCCCCGATCTCACGGCCGTGAGATGAGGCCGCGAGATTAACTGTCTTCTGAACGCCCGCTTTACTGGTCTCACTGTCCCGATCTCACGGCCGTGAGACTAACCGTCTTCTCGAGCCTCTAAAGCCTTCATCTTCGGACCACGATCATTGTATGTTTTTCGAACTCGATGGACATCTTGTGAAGTAACCCGGTTTGCATCATGTATGTATGTCTTTGGTTCAACATCATATCTCTTTGATTAGGGGTGGTATTCGGTCGGTAATCGGTAATCCGGTTACCGACTTTACCGGTAATCCGGTTACCGACTTTACCAGTTTTTGGTATACTGAATGTGGGTAAGGGGGAATCGATTACCGATACCAGTTTGTAATCGGTTTACCGGTTACCGAATTACCGGTAAACGGTTAGACATCGGTTTTATCGACTTACCATAAGGAGTAGTTGCAGACGGTTTTTCGGTTTGGTTTACCGGAAAATTACCGAACCGAATTTCTGGGCAGTGGGGTGATGTTGTGTCTTTGGTCTTCGGCGACGTCAGGGGTGACTACTTCTTCGACCAGGATGGTTCGGACGGTGGTGGTCTCTTCTTGTTGTTCGACGACTATTGGCTGGTCGAGGGTGAGGTGGACGTCAATTGTTTCTTCGCTGTCGACGACGTTGTTGATGTCTTGGCTGTTGATGAGGTTGTTGATGTCGTCTTGCGTGGCGTCGTCGATGTCTTCCTGCGTGTCTCCATCGCCGGAGAGGATGGAAACCTGGACGGTTTCCTTGAAGACTTTCCTCGTCGACCGGACGACACCCACCACCCTTCTCTTGGAGCGCTTCGGTGCCATTTACGTACACTGAAAATTTTTAACTACCAATTACTGCTTCTTTACGGGTAGTGGGGAAGAAGAGAAGGGTCTGGTATCGGTATTACTGAATTACCATCGGTATTTACCGATACTGGGGCCGTTAAACCGAGCTTCCCCATTTGATCCTCGCCCGCCGATACCACCGGTAAAAGGTTTACCGTTTACCGCTGGTTACCGATTCGGTAAAACCCCTGCATAAAGAAATACAGAGTGCCCATTTAATTGAAAGAAAGAGAACAGACAGGTCCTTTATGAGAGAAAAGTACGTACTGAAACAAATCAGTAGAGGATGCCCATATATAATGTAGGACCTACCCTTGCTTGTACCCTACAACCCATCATCCATCCGTCCATCACTCTCCTTAGTACCTTCTTCCTTTCTTTTGATTAGACACAGAAGAGTTGTAGTTATGGCGAGAAGCTGCTGCAGAGGATGATGATGTATGATCCTCAATCCTCATCATTACATTCTCACAGCCCTAAGCCCTTTCTTTCCTTTCCTTTCCTTCGTCAAACATTATCATCATCGTCTGTCATCACTCTCCTTAATCCAATCGTAACCCAACAACACATCATCTCCATGAGCCACAGCAATCCATTATCATAATAGAAACTGGGTGGGTATGGCGTTTATGTATTCTTCTGAGCAGAAAGAGAAAGGATCGATGATCACTGCAAGTGCAAGAAACAAAACAGAGCAAACCCATTACCCATGCCCCCAATGTCTCGTTTGACAAGACTGTACACAAGCAAAGCAAAGCTGCTGCAAAGAAAGGAAAAGGAAAAATGAAAATGCCAATCGAGATAGAGAGGGCAGGCTGGGCAGCTTTGTCCAGTCCAGTGTCAACGCCCCCACCCTCCTTCTGATCGGCTACTTCTTCACCCACATGGCATTCTACTGTTACTGTATGTGCTAAAGGGAAGTAGTTAGGTTGTCCTTGTCGGCGACATTGATCCACTTCCATGGATCAATGAGCCTGTATTCTATACAAAGATCCGTATTCTAAATTTAGACCCTCATATTAAAAATCGTAAGAAGATAAGTATAGACTTGAGACCGGCGCTCCCGGTCATCTCACTTTTTGTATTTGTTTTTATTGTTTCCGTATAAGCACACAGAACGTTGGAAATGTATATATGAATAGCTTTGAAAGCTATAGAGTCTCAAGTGAAAAAACTACCACATTGTTAGTTTTATTTGGTGAAATGTGTATAAAGATAGGAGCCTCTCTCCTAAGGAAATGCCCATTTGGGTGACCCACTTTTGTGAGAGAGGGAGGACCTAACGGACCACCACACACACGCGCGCGCCGTCCGGTTGGTTCACTTGAGACTATATATTTTTTGGAGAAATTCCGAACGAAATTAATTATCTAATAATTAATTATTAATCGGTTATTCGAAGGAATATTCTAAGGATAATCGATTAAAAAGGAATATTCGAAGGATAATCCCGCAGGATTTATCTTAACCGACGGTTTTTAATTAAGGAAGTAATTATCTTCCTTAATTAATCCGACTTATTCCCCAAGCTAGAGGGTATATTCCTAGGGGTTCGGCTTCTATAAATAGCCGCCTCCCCAGCACCTCTAAACACACCACAACGAGCATAAACACAATAGAGAGAGTGTTCAGAGAGCTCCGGTTTTTGCACAAAACCGTGAGTACAGAGTGGAGCTGTTTTATCCTAGAGATAAGCGGTTGATAGTCTGTCGTGCGCATCGAGGGCAGTGCCGCGAACGTCTTAAAGAGAGCGACCTAGTCCGCGACTAAGCTCCAGATTTAGTAACCTCGTTCTTGTTGTTATTCCGTTCCTAACACTATTAAGACGTTCAGCTGCTGCTATGTCGACTGAACAGAACAACATGGCCGGATCTGATGATGTCCATATCAATCGACCCTTTCTCTTCGTTGGAATCAACTTCCGTCGCTGGAGACAAAATATGGAGTTCTACCTTACGACCAAGAACTTGGCACACTGCCTCACCAGCATGCCCGTCGAGCTGCCGGAAGAGGCGACCGATGAGGAAAGGGTTGCTTCTGCTAAGGAAATGGAGCATGACATCCTATGCAAGAACTACATCCTCAACGACCTGGCAGACGATCTCTATGACTACTATGCGGACAACAAGAACACAACAATGATGATCTGGGATGCGCTCCAAAAGAAGTACGACACGGAGGAGGCTGGAGCTAAGAAGTATGTTGTCAGCCGCTACCTACGCTACTAGATGGTGGATGACAAGTCTGTCGAAGTTCAGTCCCACGAACTTCAGAAAATAGCTCATGAGATCGTCTCTGAAGGTATGCCTCTGGACGATCAATTTCAAGTTGCTTGCATTATTGATAAGCTGCCCCCTTCGTGGAAAGATTTTAAGAATATGCTTAAACATAAAACCAAAGAATTTTAACTGGAAAGCTTGATTACTCGCCTAAGGATTGAGGAAGAGTCCCGCAAGCAGGATATGAAAGAAGAGGTGATGGTCGTCACTGCTAAACGACCCACACCTAGAGCTCTTAAACCTAACCAGAAAGGGTTTAAGAGTAAGAACCAGCAGGTCCACCCCCACTAGAATGGTGCCTCTCGAGGTAACCAAAGGGTCATGGCCCAAACCTCTAAGAATGACCCAACGTTTATCTACTATAACTGCGGAAAACCGGGTCATATGGCAAAAAAGTGTCGGAACAAGCAAAACCCTGCCGCTGCGGCCAGGGTTAACTTGACAGAAGAGGATTTGATAGCCATGATCACGAATATGATCGCTGAAGTTAACCTCACCGGTGACTCAGAAGGATGGTGGCTGGATACAGGTGCATCGAAGCATGTATGTAACAATCGTGCTATGTTTAAAACATACACAGAAGCACCTGCTGACAAGAAAGTGTTGTTGGGGACTACTCACACCACTATGGTTGCTGGTTCTGGTGAAGTGGAGCTGAACTTCACCTCTGGGAAGAAGATGGTGCTCAAGGATGTGTTGCACACTCCAGAGATAAGGAAGAATCTTGTTTCGGGATATCTTCTTTATAAGGCTGGGTTTAACCAAACTATTGGGGCAGACTTGTATATCCTTACTAAGAATGGGAGTTTTGTGGGAAAGGGATATGCATGTAATGGGATGTTCAAGTTGAATGTCGAAATTAATAAGATGAATTCTTCAGTTTACATGGTGTGTGATTTGAATGTTTGGCATGCTCGTCTTTGTCATGTGAACACACGAATTGTGAAGAATTTAAGCAAGCTAGGACATATCCCTAAACTCTCAATGAATGAATTTGATAAATGTGATTTCTTTAGCCAAGCTAAAATAACGAAAACGCCCCATAAATCTGTGAGTAGAGAATCAGAACCCTTAGATCTGATTCATTCTTATATTTGTGAACTAGATGGGACGTTAACTAGGTCTGGCAAGAGATACTTTATCACTTTAATATATGATTGCTCTGATTATTGCTTTGTTTATTTGATGAAAAACAAAAGTGAAGCCCTTGACATGTTCAAGGTATTTGTGGTTGAATTTGAAAATCAGTGCAATCGAAAGATAAAAAGACTTAGGAGTGATAGAGGATCAGAGTATGACTCTAATCCCTTCAAGGAATTCTATAGCTCACATGGTATCATTCATGAAACCACGGCACCATATTCATCAGAAATGAATGGTAAAGCTGAGCGGAAAAATAAGACGTTCACAGAATTAGTTGTGGCTATTATGCTCAATTCTGGAGCTGCTTCTTCTTGGTGGGGTGATATTCTGTTGACGGTTTGTAATGTGCTAAACCGTCTTCCAAAAAAAAAATAGAAAAGAATCACCCTATGAGATCTTGAAGAATAAGCCACCTAATTTGTACTATTTAAGAACGTGGGGCTGTTTGGCCTACGTAAGAATTCCGGATCCTAAGAGGATTAAGTTGGATAGTCGAGCATATGAATGTGTCTTCGTTGGCTATGCGCCATTAGTAAGGCATATAGATTCTATGATTTGAATGCTCGTACTATAATAGAATCCATTGATTCTGATTTCTTTGAGAAACGATTTCCATTTAAAACGATAAATAGTGGGGGTAATGTAATACCCGCTAATAGAGATAACGAAACTAGTGGGGTTGTTGGTTCTGAGGATGAACTCAGAAGAAGTAAAAGAGCTAGAATCTCTAAAGATTTTGGTGATGACTTTACTACAGTATACACCCTCGAAGATCCAAAAAGTTTGCAGGAAGCATTAACTTCCATAGATGCAGATTTTTGGAATGAGGCCGTTATAGATGAAATGGAATCGTTAGAAGCTAATAAGACTTGGCATCTAACAGACTTACCTCCTGGCTGCAAAGTCTTAGGTAATAAATGGTTTCTAAAAACGAAACGGAAACTTGATGGTGCAATTGAAAGGTTACAAGCTCGCATAGTAGTTAAGGGCTACAGGCAGAGAGAGAATATAGATTTCTTTGATACCTATTCACCAGTATCAAGAATAACATCCATTCGTGTAATGATTGCTCTTGCTGCCTTGAACAAACTCGTGGTACACCAAATGGATGTTAAGACTGCTTTTTTGAACGGTGATCTGGATGAAAAAATCTATATGGAACAACCAGAAGGGTTTGTTATCCCCGAACATGCCTCGAAAGTCTGTAAGTTAGACAAATCATTATATGGTTTGAAACAGGCTCCAAAACAGTGGCATGAGAAGTTTGACACTCTCGTTCTCTCACATGGATTTAAGGTGAATGAAAGTGACAAGTGTATTTACTGCAAGTCGGAAAATAACACTTGCACTATCATATGTTTGTATGTAGATGACATGTTGATATTTGGTACAAACATTCACGTGGTCAATGAAGCAAAAGCCATGGTGAAAGAGAGCTTTGAGGTGAAAGATCTGGGAGAAGCAAAGTTTATGCTTGGAATCCAGATAACCAGAATAGCAAATGGTTATTCTCTAGATCAATCTAGCTACATAGAGAAGATCTTGAAGAAATATAACTATTTCGACTGTAAACCTGCGTGTACTCCGTATGATGCGAGTGTAAAGCTATTTAAGAACACTGGAGACAGTGTAAGACAATCAGAATATGCTAGCATCATTGGCAGTCTCCGTTATGCTGCGGATTACACTCGACCAGACATTGCATATGTCGTGGGATATCTTGGCAGGTTCAACAGCTGTCCTAGTAGAGAGCATTGGAATGCTATAGAGAGGGTCATGAGATACCTCAAGAGAACAACAAACCTTGGTATACACTATCAAAGGTTTCCTGTTGTACTAGAAGGGTATAGTGATGCGGATTGGAATACCCTATCAGATGACTTCAAGGCAACCAGCGGGTATGTTTTTAACATCGCTGGTGGAGCTGTGTCTTGGAAGTCAAAGAAACAAACAATCCTAGCTCAATCAACTATGGAATCAGAGATGATAGCACTAGCAACGGCTAGTGAAGAAGCAAGTTGGTTGAGAGGATTGTTGTCAGAGATTCCCCTATGGGAAAGGCCGGTCCCTCCAGTATTGATCCATTGTGATAGTACCGCAGCTATCGCTAAAGTTGAGAACCGGTTCTATAACGGAAAGAAACGACAGATTCGTCGTAAGCATAGTACTGTAAGAGAACTCCTAACCATAGGAGCAGTGAGGGTGGATCATATTAGATCCAAACAGAATCTAGTTGATCCTTTGACGAAAGGATTACCTAGAGAGAAAGTCCAGAATACCGCCAAGGGTATGGGACTTATGCCTAGGGCTGCAAATGAGCCAAGCCGCTCGCGAGCAACTCGGCGTTCGAATCGGAAAAAACTCGTTAGACACTCGACTCGTTGTTTAACAAGCCAGCTCGCGAGCCGACTCGTTAAAAAACGAGCCAAGCTTGAGCTAGACCATGCTCAGTTTGATAAGCTCGTGAGCTAGCTTGACTCGGTGGCTTGTTGAGCTAAGCTCGCGAGCTGGCTTGTTTAGAGCTCGTCGAAGGATTAATTACTCTTTTGAACATGAAAATTATCATGTTAATAAGGATGTGTATGAAAGTTAGATGTTATTTTTAGTTTCTAGTATTCTTTTTATCATTTTTAGTTTCTAATATTCTTATTTGTATACATTTTTCAGCAAAGAATGGTTTCAAATCGAGCTCATCTTGAGCCGAGCTTGTACCCAGCTTGACAAGCTATGTTAATGAGCATTTATCGAGCTCTATCGAGCCGAGCTCGAGCTGGATTATTTTTAATCGAGTCGAGCTCAAACTCGAGCTGGATGATCAAAATTCGAGTTCGAGCCAAGCTCGAGCTGAAAAATTTATAAACGAGCCGAGCTCAAGCTGAGCAAAAACTCGGCTCGTTTGCAGCCCTACTTATGCCTACCGAACCACGGACTACAAGTGATGGTAACCCGACCCAATAGACTAGAGATCCCAAGAAATGGGTTCAATGGGTAATAACAAGTCATGAGTAGTATGCGAAAAGTTCATGCATAGTGAAGCATGAATCCCAAAGCAATGGAGGTTGAGTTAATAACTCTTAATGAGATCTATAACCTATGTGGGGTGGAGTACTTTACTTTGGGGGTACTCTTGATAGACTCACCTATGTGAATGTGGGAGTGGGGCCGCTCCCTTTGGAACTTTGGAGGCACAAAGTTGCTAGAGCGTTCACTAAACCAGGATAACGTGCATGGCCATAAACGCATGAGCTAAGAAGAGAACACAACTCAATGAAAAGATCAGGTGTGCTACACTGTCTGAGATAGGGTTCAAGACTACGAGTCACCCTTATGAAATCGGAAGTGTAACCACTATGCTAAGGTTCAAATCTTCGCGATACCTTAGCTTATGCCCGATCTTATGGAACTGTTGATGCTCAGAGATAGTTTCAAAACTACCACATTGGTATAGAGTCTCAAGTGGAAAAACTACCACATTGGTAGTTTTACTTGGTGAAATGTGTATAAAGATAGGAGCCTCTCTCCTAAGGGCATGCCCCTTGGGGTGACCCACTTTTGTGGGAGAGGGAGGACCTAACGGACCGCCACACATACGCGCGCGTGCGCGCCGTCCGTCCAGCCGGCCGGTCGGTCGGTTGGTTGGTTCACTTGAGACTATATATATATATATTTGGAGAAATTCCGGACGAAGTTAATTATCTAATTATTAATATGTTATTCTGAGGAATATTCTAAAGATAATCGACTAAAAACGAATATTCGAAGGATAATCCTGCAGGGTTTATCTTAACCGACGGTTTTAATTAAGGAAGTAATTATCTTCCTTAATTAATCCGACTTATTCCCCAAGCAAGAGGGTATATTCCTAGTGGTTCGGCTCCTATAAATAGCCGCCTCCCCAGCCCCTCTAAACACACCACAACGAGCATAAACACAATAGAGAGAGTGTTCAGAGAACTCGAGTTTTCGCACAAAACCCCGAGTATTGAGAGGAGTTGTTTTATCCTGGAGACGACCGGTTGATAGTCTGCCGTGCGCATCGAGGGCAGTGCAGCGAACGTCTTAAAGAGAGCGACCTAGTCCGTGACTCAGCTCCATATTCGGTAACCTCATTCTTGTTGTTGTTCCGTTCCTAACACAAACGTGTTACTATTATTGCTTCATCTCCACTCCCGACTCCAAATAATCTCAAGCTTCATCATTGTTGCGCCCATCGTCATGAGTCGTGATTCTACGTGTCCTTGCTCATCAAGTCGATGGAACATAGTTAGGATTTTTTCCTACTTTACTTAAACACTTCTTTACAACTGTTACATAAAATACACTTCTTTACAACTGTTACGTAAAATACAAATCCATTACGTAAAGGTTACGGAATATAGTTATTTCTTTCGTAACAGTGAAATTGGAAGTGTTATATAAAGCTTTCGTAATGACTTAGCTCTTTACGTAACACGACGTAATACTTATTACGTAAGGCTTCCGTAATGACATTTTACAACTGTTACGTAAATTTCAAATTCATTACGGAATGATAGTTATTTCTTACATAACATTTACATAGGATACGTTACGTAAGACTTCCGTAATGACTGCTTCACGTAACGCGAGGTTAATACTCATTATGTAAAAAAAACATTCCATTACGTAATAGTTAAATGAGTAGCATTACGTAAAACTTCCGTAATGACTTTGCATTTTACGTAATGCAAGGTTAATAGTCATTATGTAAAGACACCTTCTATTACGTAAGGCTTCCATAATTATATTTTACAACTGTTAAGTAAGATTAAATATGTTACATAACCATTACGTAATTCCTATTGTATTTTACGTAATGTGACCTGTGAAGCCTACTATAATAGGTAAAAAAATTCAAGTTCCCTTACTTAAAGTGACTCTAGGAAATCCCTACAAAGATAACACGAAAGCTACCATACATTGTGGCTTTGTGTTACTTTGCCTCCGACCGCCAAAACCAAAGGTTTTGTATCGGCATTAACACGATCCTGAATTTTTTTAAACTTATTTGTGGTGTTCGTTGATTTCCCTGAGCGAACAAACCATTTGGTCTCGATAACTCAAACCGCAAATTGTGGGTGGAGGGATTACAGAATAATCATGTGTTTATGTGGGGGCTTTTCTGTAAATATGGGGGACTAATAAGGGCCAATTTGGTGTTTCAAGGGGGATTGTGGCTTGTCTTTGGTTTGTGTGGGAATTGCTCACCAAAAGGGCAGAAAGGAAGGGGCATGTGAAGTGAAGGGCTCTGGCAAATTGCTAAAACCCCCAATTATTATGCACCCTCCCCAACCCCACTTTTTTTATTTAATTTTAATAATTCTACTAGTGGGTCATTTTTTGGTGGGGTCCTCCATTCTCTTCCTTCCCACTCCATTCTGGACTTTGGGTCCCTCCTCCCACAGTGTATGTCATCACTCATCATCACAAACCAAAATTAAGGGAGTCTACTCTTGTCTTTGATTGTGGATTGTCAAATATTTGATTACATGCATCATTATTCAGAGCATATTATAGTGGTTTGTTTTACAAGACAAGACCACAACTTCATCTTTGAATGAGCATTACTTATCAATTTGACTTTAACAACTTCTAGGATGGCAACACTATTAGAAATGTTGGGTAACCACTTGTAGCAGAGTAGCACATTGTAACGATGTCATCGCTCATATCGTCCTACCCACATTAGGTTTGAGTGAGTTTCGTACAAACTATGTACTTATCATTTCCATCGACAGAGCCAATATATATGGCGAGGGTTTCAAATAACAAACCGCAACATCCAACTCTCGGAAGGGGATTAATAGTCTCATCCTACTCCAATTACATGTTCTCTGAAAATGAATACATATATATAACATTATATCAGAAATTAATTGAGTAGCTGAAAGTTTTCTGCTTTGATTGTTTTTCCATTAGCTCAAGCATGATAAAGAGAATAGGAGAAGGCAAAGAGCAAATCAAGGAGAGAAATAAGGCAAAAGAGAAGAAGAGAGGGTGGGATTTGTTCTTTTAAACCCCATTCTCTGTATTCCCTTTTGTCCTTTGTTTAGGTGTTTAAATCTCTTATTTGCGGTTTTGCAACATATAAACACATATAAACATCATTATCGTCCTCCATAGCAACTACTTAATACTCTCTTACTACTTCTACTAATCCTCCCTTTCACTCCCTACTTCCAACTTAATTAGGACTCCCATCATTAGGGGGAAAAACCCAAAATAAATATATCAAAGATGAAAAATAAACATGGATGAAAATTTTAAATTAAAAGAGAAAAGACCCATTTCGATGTTGTATATCAAACTTCCCAATCTTCCTCCACCGCAGCAATAAAAGCTAAGCAAGCTAAACGGCGGCAGTGCAGCAATCCGGGCCTGAATTCACTCACCCGACCCGCCTCTTCACATCAGGCTGCAACTCGAGGTGTTCTCGTCGCTGAAGTAATTCGTATACGGGTCGGTAGCCTGGGGATGCGGGTATGGATAAGGGTACGGGTTCGGGGGCATGTAGTTCACCGCCGGTGGGGGTCTGGCGTACATCATCGGCTGAAACCTCTGGTCGCCGCCGCCGGCAGCTATTGCAGCGGCTGCTCTTTGCTGGTTCATCATCGCCGCCATGTATTGTTGTTGCTGGAGAGACGGGTTGCCGGGCATTCCCTCGGGACCTGAACCTGGGAAATACCCAACCGGAGGGCCTCCTCCTACGCCGCCGGCGTTCATCGGTAGGCCTTGGACCGCTGCCGCTATGTTATTGGGCATTTGGCCCATTGGAACTTGATGATGGCCCATGGGCACGCCGTTCATTCCGCCGCCCATTGGGCCCATACCTTTTCCATGGGGTCCACCACCACCCACGCTTCTAAAGCCTTCATTACTGCTCGCACCACCGCCGGCGTTATTTACCTTCTTGCCCCCGGCCATGTTCATGTTATTACCGTTCATACCACCACCGCCATTATTACCGTTCTGACCGTTCCCTCCACCGCCGCCGTGACCGCCATTTTTCCCATCTTGCGGTTTACCTCCACCGCCACCGCCTTTACCGTTTTGATTTTGATTCTTAACCGGATTCCCTCCGCCGCCGCCTTTCTTCCCACCGCCGTTGTTGAAATGAACGGGAACCGGTCCGTCGCCACCGCCTTTTTTCGCGGCCGCAGCTAGATGAGGCGGGAGCATTCCCCCGCCGGCGTTCATAATCATGCCAGGGTGTCCATTTCCGATGATCGGCTTAGGCTTATTGGGAGGAGGAGCGTCCATCTCATCATCGAATTCGTCATCGTCGAAGTCATCCTCGTCGTCATAATCATCATCGTAATCGTCATCACTAAACTCGTCATCTTCAGGGGCGGCGAACTTAGCGGACTTCGGATTGTTCTGATTCTGCTGCTGCTGCTGAAGGTGGGGAGGCATCTGCTGCGGCATTTTCATGGCTCCTTTCAATTGGGGAAGCTGCTTCAGATCTTGTAACCCGCTCATCTGCTGCTGCAGTTGTTGCAGTTGCTGGAGCTGTTGCGGGTTCAGTTGATGTCCACCGCCGCCGCCGCCTTTGAGCTGGTTCTGGGGGTTACTGTTATTACCACCAGGGTGTCCTCCGCCGCCGCCTTTCTGGCCACCGCCTTTGCCGTTATCCTGGCCACCGCCGCCTTTGCCGCCGTGATCAATTTGCATGTTCTTGAATTGATTGGGCAGTTGATTGAGATTATGATTGTTGTTATTGGGTTTTTGGGCGCCCCAGGGCTCAGCATGTTTACCTGCTTTGTTGAGCTTCTTGATCAGGACGGCGGGGTCGACGTTTCCTGAAACAGTCACTTTCCCTTGCTCTGAATCTATATGGGTTTTGAACACCCCTAGTAAAAAAAAAAAAAAAATCCAATTAAAAGGTAACAGTCAGTCAGAGTTAAGGTAAACTGGAAAAGCAGAGCAGATCTTAAGAGAGTATGAAGATTTGGGGGGTTTTTCTCCTTTTTACCATCAATCTTCTGCAATATTTTCTTCACCTTGTGCTTGCAGCCATCGCAGTGTATGTTAACTTTGAGAACGCAGGTCTGCATGCGGCGAAAGGAAGAAACAAAATTAGAGAGTAAAAGAGACAGATAACAACCGTTCACCCATAACAGACAAATGAAAGTAGAGAAAAGGGGGCAAAACAGAGCAGTGCAAATATGTAAGCTTAGAGTTCAAATGAAGCAAAGTAAACTTCGGGAAGCTGCAAAATATAAAGAGAAAAAGAGGGTTACCTGGATCTTTAGGAACTCTTCTTTACTCATAGCTCCCGAGTAGTGTTGTCTCAGACAGTTATGGGTATGGGTAAATGGGGTGAGTTATGGGTAAAATTAGATCTGTTTGACAGAAAGAAAAGGAACTAGAACCAAAGCTTTAGGAATGGGATGCCTGGTGATGTGCTCTGTCAACTGGTCTGTTATGTGATTGTGTAGCAATGGAAACAAAGACCCAGAGAGCAAACTGAGGTGTGATAGAGAGAGAGAGAGAGAGAGAGAGAGAGAGAGAGAGAGAGAAAACAGAGCAGGATGGCGGAAGGGAGTCAGTCAGAATGCACAAGAAGAACAAGAAGGAGAAAGCAGGGGATGAAGAAGAAGTGGGAGAGAGAAGAAGAGGAAGAAGGTTGAGAAGAGAGGTGGGTGCACATTAAAAACCTTCCCTCTGGACCTTTTTCTTCTCTTGCTTCCTCTATTTCAGGGTTAAAGAAAGAAAGATCAAATGAAACATACAGAGTAGTATGGAAGAAGCAGAGTGATGAGAGAGAGAGACAGAGAGAGAGTCTCTGTGTGGTTTAATGGCTGTGTGGGATGGAATGGGATTGATGATGATGATGATGATGATGCCGCAGGAACCCAACAAAACAAAAGAGGTAAGGAAAGGAAAGGGCTTGCCTTTCTCTCTTTCTTCACTCACTTTGCTTCTTCTTCCTTCTCTCTCACTAACCCAATTCCAAATTTTCTTTCTTTCTTCCTTCCTTTCCAGAGGTGGGAGGCAAAGAAAGCTTTGATGGTTTTAGTGTTATTTATTAGAACCCTCCACTGCTACCACTAGTACTACTAGAACTAGACTGCTTACTGGTTACTCTCCTCCATCTCCCCCTCTTTTCAATATTTTAATAATTTTACTTTTTTCACTGTTTTACCCAATACCCCACAAATTTTTGTGTCTGTTTTAGTGTTTTTTCACTCCCACTGAGTCCCACATTATTTACTGCTTTGCTTTCTTCTATCTCTCCATAGCTCCTAAGTTCTAACTTCAAAGTTCAAACCCATTGCCAGTAAAAGCCAAACTCAATCCATGTGAGATCTCTGAAACCCAATTTGGCTGGGCTCTTAACTGCTCTCTTCCTCCCTTTTTCTCTCTAATAAATTCCTACTTGAGACCTGCAAATTGAAGAACAGCTTCAAATTCAATCTTGGACTCTCGACTCTCGTGGCCAATGGGAGTCATGCTTAAACTTGCTTCCCTTTTTTACCAGTGATGGGTTAGTTAACTGGGGATGGGGTAGAAGAGTAATAAATTAGGGGCCGATGGTGTAGAAGAAGATACAGAGAGAGAGAGAGAGGTCAGATTTTGTTTTAGTCCATGACAGTCCTTTTTACTAATCTGTAGAGATAACTATTATCATCGAACGAGAATGAAGAAACCCCAAATTGTCAGGTTCCTCTCTCAGCCCCCAAAATGGATGCTTTTTCATTTACTTTAACCACCTCCATTTATTACTCACACCATACCACTACCTTCCCCTTTTCCCTCTCTTTCTGGTTCGCGGTAAAAAAAAACAGAGAGAGGAATGCTCTGTTTCGTGTTTCCCCTCCTGGTTTTTTTACAGCATTTGCTTCCCTGGTATATGTATATGAAGCTGTACTTAGTACTACCACTATGACTTTTCTTTCTGGTACAATTTGCCTACCCTACTTTACCTTTCTACCCCTTTCCTTTTCTAGATTTGTTGCCAAGTTATCATCACCTTTCCTGTGAAGGACACTACTACTGCAAGATGAGCTCACTCTTCTTGGTGAAGTTTGTGTTAGTGACAAGCACCTTTCACATGAAGCAGACTTATGGCGATGATTACTATATGTGTGTGGATACAACCGGTGGGGGCGAGTTTGAATTCGGTTGATCGTGGATCAAATGAGATCGTAAGTTAGATTGAATGATCGATTGATTGTGTTATTGTCGACCTGAGATCACGTGTTAATTGGTATGCGAGTTAATCTTATGATGATTTGATTAGAGTTGTCAGTTGGGCGAATCCCTATTTATATGTCTCTTCCAAGTGTCAAATTCTTAAACATCCATTTGTATCGTAACTCTTCTCTTTCTAATTTATGAGAATGGATAAAATGCATTCTTCTTCATACTATTTTTTGCTCATATTCTATGGATTTTCATAGAATTGATTACCGCCTTCATACATATACAAAACATTCTACTTTGAAAAAGCTTACATGTAAAATAATAACTTATGCGAATCTTAGAAAATGATTTTTTAAGAAGCATCATCATATTATTAATACTATAGGTAATTGAAAATTTGATTGCTTGTGTCTTATCAAAGCCGATAACATATATCAAATTCAGTACGTGGAACTAAATTTGGTCCGACCAAATCGGACCATATTTTCACAATGGGAAGAAGAAAATAAATTTTCGTAGTAGTCATTCATGTATATGTCATAAGTCAGCATGTATTATTAGTATCTTCGTCAGCTTGACTCGCTAAAAACCCTAAACAATAAGTATTGAGAATTCAATAAATGAAATTTGGAGCAATGAAGAAAGCCAAAAAAACAGAGGGGAGCCATGGACAGTGTTCATGAAACCGCAAACAGCTTTGTCTTTATATTTTTGTGCTCATAGTTGATTAGGCATGGAAATTAGTCTTCACAATTGTTATAAAAATAATTATTTTCTGAGATGGTGAATAGGGATGTCAATCCGACCCGTAACCATGGGTACCCTACGCGACCGTAATCGGTGAACGAGAGTAATTACGCGCTTTGACGGGTTAAGGGGTGGGTACGGGTAATACTCGATTTCAAAATAAAGGGTAGGGTACGGATATGGTAATCGATAATATCCGCCCCGTTATACCCACCCCGCTAACCAAAGGGTCAATTTCCCTTGAGAAATTTAGATTAGCTTGAGAAATTGAGTTTAGCTACCATTATTGATGATGAAGATGTAGACGATTATTATGTTTGTGTGAATTGTAGAAGCAAGAACAATTATTATGTGTTTGCTATTTTTATTTATGTGGATTGTTGAAGCTAGAATAGTTACAAGTATTGAGAATTTTTAATGGACAACCGTATGTATGTGCATATATGTGTATAAGTTCATAGTTTAGGATTCGTACCCATGGTTACCCGAATACCCGTGGTTACCCAGTGGGTAGGGTATGGTTATATAATTTTCATACCCGGTGGTTATTTGATCGGGTATTTTAAAAGGTTCTACCCGACGGGTTAGGAGTTGGTATAAAGTAAACCCGCACCCAACCCTACCCATTACCATCCTAACGGTGAAAGCCAATTGAAGTTTGCTGATGCTGATGGGTCTATTCATCCCAAGATCTTCCGAAATTTTCGTATTCTGTCCAAAAGGATAATTTGTTCTTTTTCATGAATAGTGTCTTGATAGGTAGTAAACTAATAATTGTAAAATTTGTGATGGTCCATTGCTTTCTTCTTCTTGTCCACCAGCACTCGACGTGGGTTTGGCCAGCAACAACATTTCTCTCCACCAAAATGAAGAACCACGAGAGCAACTCAATTGAAAATTAATATGGTACCGCGGAATTTTCAGAGTAAATGTCTATTGGTAATTTTTTAGGTTCGAATACTCTCTTCCCTTTCTCTCTGAGTGTCGTAGTTCGATTCACCTTCAGTCCGATGGCAATCGTCACCGGCAAAGCTTCCCCAGGTGTCGTCGGTGACGGGCGCACTTGTGCGTCTCTTTTTCGATCAATCCGGATTTTAAACTGGACTACTACGAACCGGAATATGTTAACGGCTCACTGAGGATTCCCAAATCGGTTCTTGATGAGGGTTCCAAGGGGTGGGTTAATTGCTTAGTTGGTCAATTCATTGATATCCCGACGTCGCTCTCTTCCATTCACTTTTGGGCGAATTGGATTTGGGGGCGAGATGGAGATGTTCGAGTTTCATGGCTTGGGGAGCGCCTGGTTTTGTTTTAGTTTCCAAATGCGAAGGTTTGTCGTTGGGTATTCGAAGGAGGGCCTTGGCACCATTGTGAGAACACGATTTTCCTGCGCAAGTGGGAGCCAGGTATCCAGCCTCTTGCAATTGATAACTCTGTAGTTCCAGTCTGGGTTAGGTTATCGAATTTCCCTTCAGAGATGACTTCTAAGGAGGGATTAGGGCTTATTGCCAGTTCTCTAGGTCGGCCTCTTTGTATGGACTCCCTACGAAGCAAGGGACGAGGTTGTGGGTTGCTATGTTTTGTGTAGAAATTTATGTAAAGTCGAACCTTGTGAACAAGCTGAGTATTACCCTTGATGGTCGACCAGAGATGCTAGTGGATGTCGAGTTTTGTCATGTCCCGAACAAATGTGAGAAGTGTCAAGTGTTTGGACATGATTGCTCGAATCCTGGGGGACGAACAAAGAGGGTCTGCGTTGTGAAGAAGCCTCGTGTGAAAGAAAAAATTCCTTTCCTACAAGAGAACAAGGGTAAAAGTGTGATTGTGGTCCATGATGAGGATGGTTCACTCAGAGGGTAATTTGGAGGCTAGTACGAACTCTACTATTACAGGTGGTACTGAGTCTTCTCCTATTCTAGAGAAGGAGCTTGATGTTCAAAATGAGTCCTCCAAGGCTGATGATGATTATGGTTTTCAAGTGGTCACAAATAGGAAGAATAGAGTAAGAGCTTTGCCCCATGATCTGCATCCAAAATTCTGTGAAACTTATATTCTGGTTCGATAAAAAAATTCTCTGGATGATAAAGTGTTTCCCTCCCTAAGTAGACCTGTCTTGAGGCGTGCTGTTGATCCTCCTCCACCTGCTCCTGCTAAGGGTAAAGGAAGGGGGAAGAAGCGTGGGAAATGAAGGTAATGTGCTGAAATATCAAGGGCTTTAATGTCCCTGAAAAGCACGCTGCACTGTTGAAGAAATTTTGTCGATTGAAGTTAGATATTATAGCAATAATTGATACTAGAGTTACATAAATTAATAGTATTGATATACTTGCTAAACATTTTACTCATTTGAAGCATTTGAATAACTATCATAAATCCCCAAATGGTCGAGTCTGGTTTCTCTGGAAAGATGGGCTGGATATCACTAAGGTTGATGATGGGCAGCACTTTCTCAAAGTAAAGGTTGGAGGGTCTTCTCCTTTCATTCTGCTGCTGGTTTATAGTCCAAATAAGGAAGTTGACAGGGCTGTTATGTACAAGGACCTTTTACTCCAGCAGGAGGTCCTTCTTCCTATGGTTATTCTTGATGATTTTAATGTCGTGCTTGATCCAGGAGAAGCTTCGAACCTCTCAGTTATGAACTCTAGCATGTTTACTTGTAAATCCTGGGTTCATGACATTAAAGTGGGGGATCACAAGGTTATGGGGGCATGGTTTACTTGGTGGAATAAGCAGGTAGAGAATCCCATTGCAAAGCGGCTGTATAGAGTCTTAATTAATGAAGCCTGGTTGTCTGCCTGCCCAACTAGCTCTGCTCTTACTACTCCTCCAGGAGTATCTGATCACTATGGGTTGTTGTCAAAATTTATCCCTCATGTGGAAAGCTTCCAAAAATCGTTTAAGTATTTTAAATTTTGGACCAGTCATCCCACCTACAGTAGCTTAGTTTCAGATGCTTGGAGTTATGAAGTGGATGGGTACTCCTATTATGTGTTCTATGGTAAGCTTAAGCAAGTTAGGATGGATTTAAGGAAACTTAACAGGGAAGTTTATGCTGATATTTCTGCTCAGAACCGAGACAGTGAAAGTAGATTGGAGATGTTACAAATGTCTCTCCTTGCTAATCCAGATTCTACTCTAGTGGAGGAAGAAAAGAAACTTGCAGCTGAATGTCATGCGTTGCAGAAAGCTGAAGAGAGCTTCTATAAGTAGAAGGCTCAGACCAAAGGGGTGCAGGAGGGGGATATGAATACGACCTACTTTCATCGTTCTATAAAGATTCATTATCATCGCCAACAGATCACTCGTCTTCTGAACTCCCAAGGGCAAAAGGTGACTGCAAGTAAGGAAATGGGCAAGGTTGTAGTGGATTTCTATAGACAGCTAATTCGTGAAGTTGATCCTGTTGTCTTTGTTCATCCCTCCAGCTTCTATGAACAATTGTCCCTTAAGACACTCCCACACAAGGAGGCTCTTTCATTGGTTGCTTCAATTTCTCAGGAGGAAATCCATCAAGTGTTCAAGAATCTTGGTAGGGACAAGATTGGGACCTGATTGGGAGATTGGTTTAGGATGTTGCTTTACATTTCTTTTCTTCTGGCATTATGCCTCGAGTTTCGAACTCTACTCTATTCACACTTATGGCTAAAGTACCAATTGCTGAGAAAATGAAAGACTTTCGTCTCATCTCCTGTTGCAATACGATATATAAGGGGATCTCAAAGATCCTGGCAAACAGGTTAGTAGCTATACTGACCTCTTTAATTTCTACATCAACTCTGCTTTTATAAAAGGCCGATCCATTAGTGATAATAATATATTATTAGCATCAGAATTAGTGAAAGATTATCACAGAAAGCATATTTCCCCTCGTTGTGTTGTGAAAATTAATATTATAAAAGCATGACTCTGTCAATTGGGCCTTCTTGTTCTCTGTTCTTAGTACAATGGGGATTCCTGACTTGTTCGTTAAATGGTTGAAAGCCTGTGTGTGCTCACCAAATGTTAGTGTTGTTTTGAATGGTGGCATTTGTGGTTTTTTTAGATGAGAAGGGGTCTTAGGCAGGGGGGCCCACTTTCTCCCTATATGTTTACGGTTGCAATGGAGGTCCTTGATGCTATGTTGAAAATAACTGTTAGGCAGGACCAAATCCCTTTCCACCCCAGGTGTAAACCGTTGGCAATTACACACCTGTTTTTGCTTACGATTTACTTGTTTTCACTAATGGTTCTATCATAGGGGTAGCGGGAATTTGTAGAGTCTTAAATGCTTTCTATATTGTCTCTGGTCTGAAGTATAATCCTGATAAGTGTCAACTATTCTGTGGGGGGGTCTCTGATTCTGAGCA